TAAGTTGGGAAGGGGCACGGCCCAAGAACTGCTATACTCTAGTGGTTCCCAGCAAATGTAAGAGCCCCTTGGAGACTGTTTTAGCTGGTGCAAGTTAGAAGAGTCGTGATTCTGCTGTAACATTGAGGGCGAATAAGTCTTAGCTGTGCAGGTGGTTGGGGGGAGTGCACAGCTGGCATACAACTGTTTTTGAAACCTCCCCTCCCTATCTCGTTACAGTTCAGACAAGTCTTTTATTTGAAGCCATCACATCCAAGATCAGCCAGGAAAGAGATAGGTGTATGTGCTACAGCAGCCCAAGAGGCAGAAAGCTTTGATCCTTTCTCACTCTCAAACATTTTGGGTGTTGGAAAGAATTGTTCTTAAGACGTGGCCTCCTGTATATCATAGATCTATTAGGCTCCAGCTCCACGGGGCCTGCCATGAAGAGTGGTGCCCCAGCCCAGCCTGAGGGGGCCAATCTAGCCCTTCCCCCCACCTGCCCTTCTTTTAATTGATTAACCAGTTAAACAATATGTTAAATGGGATTTTAACCAGTTAAATGGGATTTTACATCCCTAAGATCTATACCATCAAAATGGTTTATCTGGGATTAATTTTCCTCTAAAATTATAAAGAAATGAATATTTTATTCAGTAAATACATAATTGTTGGAAAAGAATGAGCAACTACTACTATTCCCCTTTATTTGGCTCTAGTGAGGCCACATCTGGAGTATTGGGTCTAGTTCTGGGCCCCCCACTATTGAAACGATGTGGACACACTGGAGAGGGTCCAGCGGAGGGCAACCAAAATGATTAGTGGGCTGGAACACGTGACCTATGAGGACAGGCTGAGGGATTTGGGTTTGTTTAGTCTGCAGAAGAGAAGAGTGAGGTGGGATTTGATAGCAGCCTTCAACTTCCTGAAGGGAGGTTCCAAAGAGGATGGAGAGAGACTGTGCTCAGTAGTGACAGATGGCACAACAAGGAGCAATGGGCTCAAGTTACGGGGAGGGGGAGAGCTAGGTTGGATATTAGGAAAAACTATTTCACTAGGGCTGTGTCCAGACTCAGGGGTTTTTTCGGGAAAAGTAGCCTTTTTCCGAAAAAACTTCCCCTGCGTCCAGACTCAAGCCGCGTTTTTTCGAAATTAAATCGAAAGAACGCGGCTTTTCTTTCGATGGCGGTAAACCTCATTTCACGAGGAAGAACTCCTTCTTTCGAAAGTTCATCTTTCGAAAGAAGGCGTTCTTCAATGTAAATAGGGCTTCTTCGAAAGAGAGCATCCAGACTCACTGGATGCTTTCTTTCGAAAAAGCAAGCCGCTTTTTCGAAAGTTCAACGTGCAGTCTAGACGCTCTCTTTCGAAAGAGGCTCTTTCGAAAGTATCTTTCGAAAGAGGCTTGCAGTCTAGACATAGCCTAGGAGGGTGGTGAAGTACTGGAATGGGTTACCTAGGAGGTGGTAGAATTTCCATCCCTAGAGGTTTTTAAGTCTCGGCTTGACAAAGCTTTGGCTGGGTTGATTTAGTTTTGGGCAGGGGGCTGGACTCAATGACCTCTTGAGGTCTCTTCCAGCCCTGGGATTCTATGATTCTATGTCAGTGGATGAGGTCATATATGGCCAAGCCTAGCAGTCAGAGTGTAATACAGGCTGAGTGGTCAGAGTCCAAAAGTCAGAGTCAAGGGGTGACTCAGAATCAAAATTAGGAACCAGGGTCAAGAATCACAGGCGAAGTCAAAGGATGAAGGCCAGACCTAAGGGTCAAGAAAAGAGTCAAAGTCAATAGTCAGAGCTAAGGGTTGGATCCAGATTACAGGAGTCGAGTCAGGCAGAAGCAAGGCTGGGCCAGGACTGGAATAAGACTGGGTTCATGGCAGGATCTGGGCTATAGCCATGGAGAAACAAATGAGGAGCAGGGTTTACAACAAGGTGAGCACAGGGAGCCCAGCTACTGCTGCTTCTGGGCTTAAGAACTGACCTGCTAGATGCAGTGTGGTCTGTCATCCTAAGTTATTAGGGTGTCAGGAATACTGAGAAGGCACAGCAGCTGGGTCTTACACTTGATACACTTATCTAAGGAGAGAAGGTTTTAATAAAACATAGGCTGAAGTGAAAAAAATGGGGCAATGAAAATAACTTACATGTATATACAATAGCCCTCTAGACTGGCTTGCAGTATATAACATGTCAGAATCACTTTATCCAGGACGAAAACACAGTCACCTCTGCAGTCAAACATGTAACCAAGAGCTTTAGACACAATATCTCTCGGCCAATATTTTCAAAGTGGGTGTCTAAAATTAAGCTCCCAAATCAATAGTTGGATATATAAATAAACAGCTTGATATTCCCGAGTGCTGAAAAACCCATTCACTCCCATCTAAGCCAAGGTGATGGTGAAGTTGGATGTTTAGCACTTTTTGAACACAGGTCACTTGTTTAGGTATCTAAATACTAAGTTAATCTACAGTGCAGTTAAAAACCTGCAGTTGGCCAGTGCCAGTTATAGGGCAGTTTAATTGTAGTGTAGCTATCCAGGCTTGGTCTGGAGCCAAATATCTATACCACAGCCCCTTAGCTTGAGCCCCAGAAGCCCAAGTCACCTGGCACAGAATAGCTGCAAGTGTCTCATCACAGTGTAGATATACCCTTAGGGGCTCAGCTTTTAGGCTCCCATTTTTGAAAATCTTGGCCAAAGAGTGTAAAAATGGAGCATCCTTAATTTGCAGCTTTTAGCACTACTTCCAAATGCTGCTGTTAACTTTTTCTAGTAGTGCTCAGTAGTTGCCCACTAGAATAAACCATCAATTCATACATTTTATATGATGGACTACTAATATGATTTTATTATTTTAATGCCTCTACTCTATGGATTTGTCATGTCCCTTCATAAATTATGGATATTTTCAAAATGTCGGGATTTAATTGAATAGATGCTTCATACCATTTGCAAACTACATCAGGTGCTATGTGTAATGACATACCCATGTTCTAACTTTTAACTTTTAGATTTCTATTAATTCATCAATATTTTACTTATACATGTATATTATAGTTTAATTTGTATGTGATTTTCTATAAAGCTTATCGGGGAGAGGGAATGTTTTCTGTATAAATGTAATAACAAAAAGTAAGGAAAATAAATACACCACTGCACACGAGCATCCTGGATGCAAGGTTTGACTGGAGTGTTTTATTCACCCTGCATTTCAGAGAAGAGAATAGGATAACACACTTTAAAGAATGGTTGATATTTTCATAGTCATCATTCTGATGTGACTTCGGATGATATTCATTGATATGGTAACAGCTTTTGTCAATTTCTAGTATACATACACTTTCCCATGACCAATTGTCTTTGTTGACAGACCATTCAATTTCAGTAGGCCCTCCCCAATGTGCTGGATAGACTGGATATAAAGCTTTGTGGGTGTTATAAGGAGCAAGCATATTTGTATAAAATATGTCATGTAAGGTGTCAATGAAAAAGTTATGATTTGCTGAATATGATTATCCTGTTTATATGCATGTATCATTTTTGTATCTGGAGTTATGAATATTGACTATACATTTCTCACATATGTAGAAGCAAAGAAATTTTAGATTATATGAAAGGGTGTGCATTGCAAATAACAGATAAACATGTCTGGAGGCTCTTTAAAATGTATAACTAGTCTAATCATATGCACACAGAGAAATTCAGAATTAAGGCAGCAAATCCAGAATATCCTGTTCTGTGTTATATTGGTGCTTATACTGCACTCATCACCATAGTATCTGAGCATCTCCAAGTAGTGTATCCTAAATTAAGATATAAGCTATCTATTCATTATAACATTTTTGTTACTACCACTTTTATTGTAAATGTGCTTCCTGAATTTCTTCTACCTTTGCTCCCATTTCACACATAGATGAATGATGGAATGGAAAGTAGAAATGGAGTAGACCTTCTGTCTCATCCATTACCTGGTCAGTGCAAGGCATTCTCTATTTAGCATTTTACACAGGAATATGTCAAAGCACACTCCAGAACTTTTAGCACATGGTTGCAGGATTTACATGGCCAGTTAGTGCTCAGTAAGCTAGTGCACTGTAGATTCACACCCTGGTTTGTAATTTCCATGAGGCTATGGAATTGGCCCAGTGATTACCATCTGATGATAAGTAACATATTTCTGCCCAATAAACATTTTTAGGAACAGTTTATCCTTGCAAAAATATTACTACCTTATTTAAACCAAAATCAGGAAAGGATTTGAGATTGCTGACACTGAGGTTGCTTAGAGTTAAGCTAGCCTGTGCAAAATATATTTCAGAAAAGCACATTAATTTCATGATTTTGTTTTACTCCATTGTACTTTTACTCCCTTTGGACCATATTCTGATATCGTTACCCAAGTTGAGTAATAGTTTACTTCACAAGCAATCCCATTAAAGTCAGTGGGGCAACTGATGCTGTTCAAAATGAATTAAGGGCATCAGAATTTATTCCTCTGTTTCATTCTACTCACTTATTTCAATATTTAATGAGAAAACAGCTGAATCTTCCATTGCACAATCAATAATTCATGGTAATTAATTCAGTTTATTGTAAATCACACATCCAACTTTATTATGCAACCTGTAGAAAAGGTATGCTTAAATGTGGCACAGATTTTATTTTTAAAGATTTGATTATGGAATGCATTCTATTTTTTCTTTTGTTTTCTTTTGGAATTTTTAAATACTGTCTGTATACTTGAAAAGAAGCTTTTAAAATATATTTTTATTTTAAAAACTGATCAAAATTAATATAACAAGCTTTTCCAGCTTAGTGGTATGTCTCTGCATTTCCAATCTTCCTGTTTTGTTACCTAATAAAGATTTTGTTTCACAATTAATTTATATTGATATATGTGTAATATTTTTAAATCTATCAATATCATTTAAGTGTGGTATTCTTGCAATCCAGACTAACCTTATCTAACCTTATACTGTGAGTCAATAAAATGTATCTTTTTTGTTTTGTTTTCCCAGTTTACACAATTCTCTATCCCAAGAAGCGAGTCTTAAGGATCAGTTTAACTGTACTCTTAGTACATATGAAGATGCACTGAAAAGCAGAGAGGATATTGTAGCCATCACATATCACCAAAATGAGCAGCTAGCTACCCAGCTGCAGCAAGCCATGACAGAGCGAACAAACATGGAATTAAAGCTTCAGCAAGCTTTAGAAGCTTCACAAGAGGCCAATGAAAAAGTTCAAACGTAAGTCAATTCACAAATATTATTCCTCCTGATGTTTAAAGTGTAGTCACAAAAGTGGCTGTTTAAAAATGGCTTCCTCTGACTCACAGATTGGCTTCTTGTTGTACGGTTGAGAGCCATTTCCACTGCTGTAGTGACAAAACATAGTGCCTTAGTGATATATAACCAACCCACCTTTGGGAGAAGGATTTGACTGGACATTAAGGGGTGGGGACAATTGTCTGGCTTATTGAAAAAGGGTGGGCCTCTGTAATGGGCCCATGGTGCAACCTGGAAATGGGAAGGTACCACTGAGCCCTTTGACTCGCCAGCTTGGACTCCTTCTCTCACTGTGCTGCTGTGACAAGCTGCAGGCCACTCCCAGTCCTGCACTCACACAGACCTTTACACATGCAGGCATACACAGAGCTGCAGTTTCATGAATGCTTCTCCTTGGCCATTTATGAACTAACAATAGAGAGATTCCAGTTAGCTCCCTCCCTCTTCCTCCCTTCCTCTCCCCCTCCCCTCTGCATAGGACCTCAATGCTGTACTGTCTTACCATGATCAAAAGTTTGTCCTGTTTATTTCTTAGTCTGGCCCTCCCTCGATGTGGAGAGGGAGCCCCTATTCCTCAGCAGATTCCCCAGGCACTTCAACCAAACCACATTGTTTTTGGTAAAATTTATAAACCAGATTTATTAAGTTCAGAAAGATAGATATTAACTGATTATAAGTAGTGGCATACAGATCAAAGGTGATTACCATAAGAAATTAAACAAGAACCATCTAAGTTCTCTAAATTTAGGATTTGAATCAATGATAAGACGTGAATCAAGCAGATGGAACAAGCAGTCTAACAGGCTTCCATACAGAGGCAGACTGCTTTCTTTCCTTCCTGGAACCCCGTTTTCCAACATTAGTCTTTTTGTCTAAGGTGTTTCCATGTGTTGTGTTATAGGGTAGTAAGGCCCCATAATGATGGGACGTCCTTGTTTATAGTTTTTGCCATGTGGAGGGAACTACTTACTGTAGTTTTAAGCCAAGGCCTCCAGCATAGTTTGTGGGAAAATACAGACACTAAAGTGGAGTCCAGTGTTTCTTGATCTACTCACATACCCTTGCATGCGTCAATGAGTTATGGTAGCCATTATCCATATACTGACTGAAGAGTTCATAGGTGAGGCGAGCCTTTCCCTTGACCAATTGTCTTTGTTGATGGGCCATTCAACTTCAGTAGGCCCTTTATAGTGTGCTAGATAGACTTGATATAAAGCTTTGTGGGTGTTATCAAGAGCAAGCATATTTGAAATACGATCACAGTGAAAAATGCATAGTCAATATGCATAACTCCTGGTGCAAAAATGATAAATGCATATAAACAGAATAATCATATCATAAAATCATAACCTTTTCATTGACACTTTACATGACATATTTTATACAAGATGCTTTATAATTACGTCATAATTATATCACTATGATTAATATGTGGTGTAGTGTGTCAATTTCTTTAAAAGCTAGAGAGCTAGGGAGAGACTTTCTGCAACAACTGTGGGCCAGGTCAGCAAAGGGGCACTGACCCAACTGTCCCCATCTGATGAGAAGAGAGGGAAACTATATAGTTCCATGCCAGAGCAGGAAAAGCTTTCTTTTGCTTGGATCAGGACCCTTCTACCCATGGATGTGATGAAATACTGGGATTTGTCAGGATTCTCTGTGGGCATAGATTGCTCTTTTCTTGGAGAGCTGGGAAATGAATATTTTCTTTCCCATCAGATTAGGGATTTTCAGCTTCCCCACAGTGGATTGGGGGAAACTGGAGGTAATAGATACCTGGGGTGAGGGCTCCTATTTCTAGTGCAGCAGGGAGGCAACCCACCTCTTTAATAGCCTCCTCTGATGTGCATTTGAATGGGAAGACATGATGATGTCCCAGCAGCAGGTTAGCTGGGGACCAAACTGGGTAATGGGAATGATTGACAGAATCTCCCTGGGTATCTATTACCTGTCCTGTGTACTTTTATCTATCAGGAACTCCTGGACATTTAAGAATAAAGTTGCAGCCTAATTGAACTACATCCTGTGTCATCTGCCTTATTCCAGCATAGCCAAACAATGAGCTAGATTCTGAGTTTATGTAGCATAGACATAACTGTTAACTGTGCTCCATCTGTGGCACCCATATGGTGGTGATGCACAAACTGGAAAGGAGAACACAACTTGACTTTCAGATCCCAGGGAGCATGTACAGAGTTATTCAAGGCAACATCACTTTTCTTCCAAATATACCAGATGTGTATCCAAGTCAATAAGAGACAATGAACATGGAAACTCACAAGGTCAATTAATTGTTAATTATGAGTGATAGTTGAATTTTTAAATAACTAGCTGATAAAACAAAGATTTGACTTTGTGGTCTGCTTTACAATAAGGATATGTCTAGACTACATGGCTCTGTCGCCAGAGCCATATAGATTAGTTTACTAGATATACCCAAATGAAGCAACGATTTAAATAATTGCCGCTTCATTTAAATTAAAATGGCTGCAGTGCTGAGCCGATCAGCTGTTTGTCAGCTCAGCACGCTAGTCTGGATGCTCTGCGGTAGACATTAAAGGTATTTGTCGACTGCCCCGTTATGCCTCGTGGGATGAGGTTTACTGCAGGGCGGCCCTTTATCCTGCCTGCCCCAGTGCCGCCCGTGCCGTCCCGAACCCACCCGACCTGACCCGATCCTGGGGGAGGCGGGATTCAAACCCACGACCCTGTCCTCCCGAGGCGGGAGGACAGAGCCATGTAGTCTAGACTTACCCTAAGTTACATATAATTATTATAGAGCAAGTCAAACTCAGCTCATGAATTTAAATTAGACTATTTGTACACATGCCTAATATTTGCTTTAGTATATATTTCATAAATTGCCAATGTATACACTTTCCAACCTGTTGCTATAAATCATGGATGGGCAAGAGGGACACCGTTTGCCAGGGTTAATCCATGGTAGGCAACCAGCATTTTACTTACCTCCATGTATGCAGGTACAACCTCTTGTAGCTCCCATTGGCTGGGAATGGTGGTCCATGTCCAACAGGAGCTGCAAGAAGCTGTATCTGCGCACATGCAGGTAAATAAAGTGCTGGTGGCCTGCAAGGGGCTAACATTGGCGAACTGGTTTATTGCTCGCTTCACTATAAATGCTCACCTAACATACTGTTCAATATTGTAAAAAATGAATCACACAGACAGAAAGAATACAGCATACTGTTAAAGGGAATGTGTGCATGTTAATTCTAAATTTCTGACATAGTCTCCAATATGAAGACTCCAAATTTGGCCTTATTCTCACTGAAAAGCAAGGATATTTAATAGTTGTCATGTGAAGGTATTTTTATTTCTCAGAATAGTATGCTCACCCCTTCTCTGAGGAAAGATGTGCTCTGTTTTGTTCTGTGTTGTTACTTTCTTGATCAATATTAATGTCCTTAGATCAGAACAAAGCTGTAAAATTATATGTTTTATACACAGTACAAACAAAATCCTAAGAATTCTGTTTTTATTTATTATGCCTGTAAATTCTTTGCCCATAGTTCCCATTGCTGAATCAGGGCAAATTTGCAGACCATATCTCTTCATTTCTTGGCCCTGTTCACTCCTATATGACACCTGAAGGCTCCAAAATGAGCTTTCTATAAGCTTTTTGGTGGTGGTGCTAGAATCAGGTTATAGTTTCCCCCTTTTCGTTCCACATCTGCCAACAAATTTCCTACTGTGCATAATATATTCACGTAGCATCCAGAAATTAGTTCATAATTCATTTCAGGCATCCAGTAAGATTTTACACTCTCTTCGAAAAAATAGATTTAGTACATAGGAGCTGATTTTTGTATCAACTTTTGAAAAATGAATGTATATTATCTATATTATTTAGTGTCAACACTGTGCTGTACAGAACTTGGAAGACTCATGGTCCATGTCCTGACATCCATTAAACCTTCCTTTGTTCTAGTATAATTTTAAAGCTGTCATGTTACTGTTTTTTCATCTTAGTTAAAAACACTTCCTACCTGTATTTGTAAAGAGGGAATTTATAGGCCAATATTTGTCCCAGCGAATATTTTTCAGTCATGTTTTTAATCCCCTGAAACCAAAGTGGTTATAATAGAAGGGCAGACACAACTTGAGCTATAGTGGTGCCAATGCACTGTCATAATGAAAATAATTCATCAATTTAACTTTCTTAGCTACTTGGGAAAATTTCTGTCTGGTTAGTTTCATTATTGCTAAAATTAATCCTCTAGCAAAATTAAACAGTTGGTTGAAGTCTTTTGATCACAATAGCATGCCCTTTTTATCAAGAAACTGTGGAAATGCTCAGTGTCTTCCCAGCACCCAGTCATCCACCCCCATCTTATAATTCAACCTGCAAACAGATTAAGCAGCTGAGTTTGTGGAAAGTGTGTTTACTTTGAGCTAAGAACCCTTGTGTGACACTATAGAGATTCCACTGACACCTCTGGGAGAACTACACAGACAGTTCCTGCTCATCAGCAGGGAAACCAGGCTGAGAATTCACAATTTCTTTGTAACCTCAACTGCTTCATTCAAATCGGTGTTTGGCAATTAGGCAGCAACTAGTTTGTTAGCTTTACTTTTTTATGATCTAGGATGTTCTACATTTCCAAAAGGACTGACAGTTTTAAAACCCATCAACTTGAAAGCCTTTGCTATATTAGTATTTAATTTTTATCATTATCCTATAAAGATTTTTATTGTATTTTTATTTATAATATGAAACTAAACTTCATAGCCCAATTGAGAATTCAAAGTATAACTTACCGCTGCTTCTCCATAACATCTTAAAAAATGCCAAAACAAAGTATAATTCTGATTTGTAAATGAAGTACTTTCTGGAGAACTGCTAAGTTATTTTATATTTTTCAGTGTTATTGTAATGGGCTTAGAGTTAAAAAGGGAAATAATGATGAGATTGATTAAAGAAGAATAATTAAAAGTATTAT